TGAATGTTTACATGATCACTATTCAGTTAGTTCTTTAAGTTCCGTGAGCCGTTGAAATAGGAAGTCTTTTTATCTGACATATTAATCTTGCCCTTCTTTAAATGTTTTCATTTAAATAGCAGAAGATGTTACAGTATGTACTATTGTGCTGACCTACTGGGGAATTTTTTTTTACAACACTATTTTTCATCATGAATTTGTATAATGTGTCAGCACCTTTTTTTTTTTTGGTTAAAAAGCAAAACATACAAATCATATTTCTGATCTTGACCCTCATTTTTAGATTGAGTTTAGAATCATTCTGTACCTTTAATAAAGCTGTTCTTACTTCCTATTTCCAGAACTAAAATCAAATATAGACCTACTATTCAAAACTTTGAAAATGTTTTCAACTGATGGCTTATTCTTTTATGGGGGTTTTCCCCTTGTCCTCCTGAAATAATCTTTTGTGACTACTTGACTACAGAAAAATCAGTTCAAGCATTCATATTTTAGAAGTGTTACCCTGTAGAGTTTCTGCCCTCAGTTGAGACTGCTTATACTCTAGAGGCACCACGGCTCTGTGAGTCTCACCTCCCTGTATCTGGCTGATAAACATCAGACAGAACATGGGGACTCCCTCGGTGTCCATTCCAGTTGAAGTCCATTATTAACTCAAGCCATCTGTAGAAAGTATCTCACCATAACATGCAATTCCCTCTTCATACTGCCTTTTATTTGAGAAATGATGGACCAAGGCATCACCGTGTTTCCTCTAATAGAAAGATAATGAAGAAGGAAACCTTCTCCAGACACCTTTGTTCACTTCACTCCTTTTCAAAATTGGGTGATTGCCAAGCACAGTTGCTCACTCCTGTAATCCCAACACTTTGGGAGGCTGAGGAGGGCGGATCACCTGAGGGCAGGAGTTCCAGACCAGCCTGGCCAACATGGTGAAACCCTGTCTCCACTAAAAATACAAAAATTAGCTGGGTGTGGTGATGCATGCCTGTAATCCCAGCTACTTGGGAGGCTGAGGTAGGAGAATCACTTGAACCTGAGAGGCGGGAGTTGCAGTGAGCTGAGATGGTGCCATTGTACGCCAGCCCTGGTAACAAGAGCGAAACTGTCTCAAAAAATAATAATAATAAAATAAATTAATCAAATAAAAATGGGGTGATTGCAGGCTGAAGGTCTTGGTTACTACTGAGTTCTAGTCCTCATAAGACAAATGTTCATATGGTCAAAACAATTATAATCTAACGAGTCATTCTTATAGAGTGGGATTCAGGGAGGGAGAAGAGATAACTAGTAATTTAAATGATCTTAATGTAATTTGGAGAGAAGATGATCAGATGACATTTAGACTTGAATATTGTTTCTGCTTAAAACCACTGCTGTGTTTGTTTGCATACTCTCTAAAGAAGGAATTTGCTTTAAAAAAAAGCCTATATTCAGACTTTTATTAAGCACTCCAACTCAACCCATCCTAAACTGTAAAATCTCCTTCATTTTGTAAAATTGAAAAGAAGCTCTGTGTTTTGTCTAGAAGCTGTAGACCTCAGGGTGTGTTCTATAACTGAGGCCACCTACAGAGACCAATCTGCTCAAGTGGTGAAGGGGTCTGCACCGCACATAAAGAGCTTCTGTGGGAGCAGGTGAAGCAGGGAGGTATTGAAGCCTGGTGTCCTCTTGCTGATCAGTTTATAGAAGGCACACAGCAGCCTGTCCCCAGTAGTAATTCTTTAGGACCCTGGTCAGTTCCAGTTTTCCTTCCTGAGTTAGGTGAACAAATTCTTTGTCTTTTTAGCACTATGAAGTTTACGGCACACACCAGGTTCCTCCTTAATATTTGCTTGCTTTGAAGATAGACTACTATAAACTATGAGTCAGGGAGATAGGTTGTCTAAGATGCACATTCTGGATCTTTCTAGGACCAGAGGGAGAATTAGTACTTGGTTTTTTACTTCCCTTTAAAAACAGTCCTGGTTCCTATTCCCCTCCAAAGCTACCTGGACAAGCACCATAGTCTTAGAGTGTCAGCGTTTACGTCATCTTTGAGTAAAGTCTCAGACGTGCATTTGAGATGAAGATGTTTGTTGTGTATTAGAATGCTAGACTTAGAATGGATAAGGTGGTTTGTAAGTGCTTCCAATTTTGAAATTTTACGATTTTTGTATCTTTATGTATAGATGTGAGTTTATATGTGCCCCATAGCACTGAATATAATTGAAATTTAAAATATTAGGCCTCTGTCCCTTTCCTAATGATACCCTAATATTGAAGCTCTTTAATTTGTCTGGAGCTTGAGGGTTACCATAGAGCTCTCTTCCACCACAGAGCCTTCTCTTTTTATTTGTCCTCATGTCTTGCCTGCTGCACTGCATTTGTAAGGTCAGAGATGGCAAGAGCTACTTCCAGGGCTGTTTTTATAGCTCACTACTGACTAGTCCATAGTTGTGTTCAAATAGGTATTGGGCAGCTAATGCTTTCTAGTTGACTTATTTTGGGACACAAGAAAATGAGTGTTTTCTTCATGTAAGATTGATAGCTGAAAACCTAGAGGCCCATTCTCTAGAAGAATGGCAGTTTGGAAGAAGAACCGTGACCTCAAAGCAGTGCTCCTTGTTAGTAATCAAGCTCTGACTCCCAGGACAGTCTCTCTGTAAGAGACTATAATTTAAAACAAAGTGGATGAACCAGTTGAGTGCCTTTCTTAAAATTACTGCTGTAAAGTAGATATGTTGAAAATATCAACTGCTAATTATTGGCTCACCAACAAATGGCATTATTTGTTTTTCCTGTTTGTTCTGATATTATGGAATAATCACTGAAATATTAATGTCAAATGATTTGCATGTCATAGAATTCAATTCCATGAATCTTCCAAATCAATTAGATTCAATAATAGTATGTCCAAAACAATAAGCCTCTGAATAACTAAGTCTACTAAAGCTTTAAATATATATATTTATATCTCAAGCCTGCTCTGAGATACTCTCATCCCCAGTAGTTTACTGCCAACAAATACCAATAATGACAAACTGTGATTAAAAGGGGAGATAGATGTAAATGAAGGCAGAGGAGGAAGATGGAATGAACATCTGCTTTTTTCAGCTCTGACAGAAATTCATAAAGCACCAAAAATAACACTCTTGTTTCAACTTGTGTTAGGTGTAGGAAAATTTTCTTTTTTTCTCTTTGCAGTCTGAGTATGCTTCATTGATTTGTATATTGAATACTAAATTGTTTCAGAAAAAAAAATCAGTTGGTAAGATACTTAAATGAGAAAAGCTAGTCTGTCACAGGCACATAGATGTGCCTTATCTATTGAAATAGAGGTTTAAATTATTAATGAAAGTCCCTTAATGAGGAACTGGAGTATAGTATAACCAAAATCGTAGATTCCACTGTGAACAAGCTGTGTACATTGATCGATTCACATATTTGGGTCTACCATTTCAGGTACATGAATGTACAGGAGCTACTGGGGATATAAAAACTGGAAAATAAACATTATCATCTGTTGCCCCTCCCTCCTCCTTGGCCCATTTCAGTAATGTATTTAGTAGGTAATTGGTAGGCTGTCTTGAATGAGAAGAAAATAAAAATAGGAAAGTGAGAGAATAAAAACCAAAACAAAACTGTAACTGCACAATGTTGTAAAGGACTACTCACAGGGCAGTTCTATTCAACAGTGACGAATTGCTTCCTGATTCATGGTTGGTGATTTTTTTACCCCCTCAAAAAGAGAAATTTATTATTGAGGAGGAACCGGTATAACTATACCAGTTCCTTTAGCAAGGCCCTACAAAGTTAAAATGTGTGATGTATCCAGACTGAAGTCATTTCCTCAGATCTCAGAACCTACAGCTTTCCTCAGTATAAACTTAATTTCAAAGGAGGACTTTTGGGCAAGTGTAGTGGTTCAGCCTATAATCTCAGCACTTTGGGAGGCTGAGGTGGGAGGATCACTTGAGTCCAGGAGTTTGAGACAGGGCTGGGCAACATGGTGAAACCCCTTGTCAACAACAACAACAACAAAAAATTAGCTGTGGGTGTGGTGGTGCATGATTCTAGTTTCATCTACTCAGGAGGCTGAGGTGGGAGGATCACTTGGTCCTGGGAGGTCAAGGCTGCAATGAGCTAAGATTGAGCCACTGCACTCCAGCCTGGATGACAGAGGGAGACCCATCTTAAACACACACACACACACACACACACACACACACACACACACACGCCTTTGACCACTCTTGAGTAGAAGACTGGAAAAGAGCAAAGTAGAAGACCAGAGAAGAAGAGTTACTTGAAAGATCTTTTATTAAAGAGAATATGCAAGCTATGAAAAACAAAACAAAACAAAATACACAAACCTCATATGGAATGAAAAAAACATAATGCATTTGGTTTCTGGTTCCTTGGACCGTTGTGGAATAACTAAAGAGCATTATTTTGGTTTCTGAGGTTAAACCTACTTTATTCCCCTCAAGCACACTATACTTATGGTTTGAGGGAGAAGGAGAAATAGGAAACTAGGGACAGGCTGAAAGGGTCTAATCTTGACTGTCTAATTCTGCAGTGTCTTATTCTCATTCTATGAGAGAGTGGTTATCTTCTCTGTTCTAGCATGAAAAGTAATGATACAACTAAAGGATCCTTTATTACCAGACAATAATCCCCTCCACTGGTTTAATGCTTGGTTGAGTATTTGCTTACCCTGAGGTGAAACTTGTTCATTATGTAGGCATCATTAATGTCTGTTCTACTTATCAGAATTTTCTTATTTTAGCTGTATTGCCACTTGATAGTCCAGTTTATTCAAATGAAAAGATTGGTGAACATTTTACAGTTAATGTAATTGTTTTCTATGTTTTTTCCTCTTTAGGTTATTGGCGTGATGAGTAAAGAATACATACCAAAGGGCACACGTTTTGGGCCCCTAATAGGTGAAATCTACACCAGTGACACAGTTCCCAAGAACGCCAACAGGAAATATTTTTGGAGGGTAAGTAAGTGAAATTTCTCCAGACTCATTAAGTATTAGGAAAAAATGGAGCTACAAGGGCTGGGTGGGTTACCTCCTTTCTCGTCTTGTGCTGAGAAATGCTGGGGCTCACCCATAAGAATCCAGGATCTCATGGACACAGGGAATTCTGAACAAATGTGATGAAACCGATTAAATGTTTGGCCTGTAGGTGGTTAGTGATGGAGATATGGGGTATATGTGAGTTTTGATTTTTGCAATTCATTAGAGTTTTGTGATGAAAGGAAACAGTTTGTTGCATTGCTTTAAGGTAGTAGGTTCATTTGCATTTCTCTGCAAGGAAGTAGTAATGAGTCACCAAGCCTTAAATTTCACCCCTTTTTGATTTCTTGCTGACTTGACTTTAATTGAATGGAATAGTTATCACAAATGAATAATCTTTTTTTTTTTTTGAGTGGATTCTCACTGTTGCAGGCTGGAGTGCAGTGGTGCTATCTCAGCTCACTGCAACCTCCGCCTCTCAGGTTCAAGCACTTCTCCTGCCTCAGCTTCCCAAGTAGCTGGGACCTCAGGCGCGCACCACCACGCCCAGTTAATTTTTGTATTTTTAGTAGGGACAGGGTTCCACTATGTTGGCCAGGATGGTCTCAATCGCTTGACCTCATGATCTGCCCACCTTAGCCTCCCAAAGTGCTGGAATTACAGGTGTGAGCCACCACGCCCAGCCAGGAATGACACAAATGAATTATCTTAAAAGTAAATGCCATTAAGGAAGGATAGCTGGAAGATGGGGTGAGGGGAATGGAGAAAGGATCCCAGGGCTAGTCCTATTTAAATACATGTGCACCATAAAACGATTCCATTTGACAATAAGTTAATTATCTCATAGCATAAGGAAAATAATTACAACCATGCAGGATGATAAGCTTTCCTTTGTAACATCCACACAAAAGATCTAGCTAGTACAATTTCCTTTGCTATATTAGAAAGGCCGCTAGAGGTGAACTAATTAGATGGAATCCTTGAGTAAAAGACTGGATTAACAGTGAAGAGAAAAAAGTCAGATTGCTTTCCTTCTTCCCATAGATGTCTCAGGGATATTCAGTTTCCTCAGTTAGAAAATAAAGCTATGGTTACTTAAATGTAGTAAGCGTTTTTATGCATACTTACATGAAATGTACATTATTTGAATTCTTTAAAAAGAAAAAGCTGCATGATAACAAAAATTGTGTTGTGCTTGCTGTAGCTGGTATTTTGCCTAGAACACTTACATCTTTCGGACAGGTATCTTAGACACTTCTGCTAGTGAATCACTCAAGGTATTCCTAAGAAACTATTTTTAATCCAGGAAGTTTTGCATTTTTAGAAATTTATCTTAGTATTTCCCAAGCAAAAGAGGGTGGTTACAGATTCACTAAGAATCATGTGCTCATAATTTTAATTTGATAATTATTCCTGCTTAAAATATATTAATTCATAATTTTGGAACCGTGAGTGCATTTTTGCCTTTATTGCCAATAAATTCTTCTCAGAAGTGAGCCATAAAGTTGCATACTTCTTGGAGTTAAAGGTCTGAATTAAGACAATCCAGCATAAGTCTTACTATGTGTGATCATTTTGAGAAAAGGCAAGAAGCACCTAAGAATCTCCCCTCACTGTCCTGGTTCCCTGTTTCATTTAAAGATTTACTATAAGTATCTGGAAGGCTTTCCTTGGGAGGATTTATTTGAATCAGTCTTTCACATGCAGAGGATATTGTAAAACATCCCAGTTTTGCTGGCAGGAATATGAACATCTGTTGTGAAGAAAGAAAAAGTTTCATGCAAATTACACAGCCAAAGAAGAGAAGGGCTGTTCAAGTTGAGAAACCAGTGACATTTCTTGTAACTGAACTATGAATCAGCACATTTTAATCTTGATAATATATGGAAGTGCAATAAGGTGGTAGGAAATAGTGCTCATTTTACGTATGCGTTATTTTATTTCCTTGTGTGTGTGTGAGTGACTTCATGGCATCGACATAGCTGTTTTTAAATGAGGATACAGTAAATTGCAGTCCAAGGAAGGCTAACTGGAATCAACATACCTGTAGCTTTAGAAAGCAGTTTCCGCCCCAGTGAAGAGTTGCAAGAGCGATGGAACCCCATGTTCCTGGAAGTTTGCACATCAGAGTAAACAAACTTGAAAACCCCTCTTGATAGCAGAATTCACCCAGCCTTGTTCCATTTTCTCTTAACAAAACACACCGCAAAAGCTCTCACAAGCTGCTTTGATGAAGCCACATGTATTTCCCCCTTCACAATTTACAGGAAGTTACTCTTAAAAGAAAGTGATTCTGATGTTTACCGCCTGCGTTAAAGGGACAGAGTTCCTTTTTATTTCTGATAACGTTTGAGCGAAATACAGAAACTGTCCATAGACTAGCACAGTTGGTACGTGAGTAAGGAAAAGCAATAACCTGCTGTCCGGTAAGAGCGAAATTCCTGCTACGAACAGTGCCTCACTTACTACTTGGAGACTGCAAGTCGCAGAGGACACCAGGTATTGACTGATTATATATGTACTAAGGAAAGGTCTTAAAGTCTAAAGAAAAGGTGGTACTTCCTAAAAAGAGGGAGAGAGAGAACACTTTCTATGGAAGGATAAGGAGTGTGTTTATAGTTTCAGTAAGAGTGTACATTTTAATTTTTCTTCCTTCTGCCTCTTTGCCAAGTGGCCTGAGTGCATCTGTTAACCAGAAGTAGTATTTCTCTAGGACAAACTTCAAATTCTTCATTATGCGTTGCCTTTAAGAAACAACATACTTTCTTCCTGTTCGTTTTCCAAAAACACAACGCCTGTGGCTGTGTGTGTGGTGTTTCAGCCAGCCTCCTCCCAGATAAGGGGTTCCCTCTTCCCTCCTTTGGATTGAAAGGAAAGAGCAAGGCTGGACACGTTTATCAAGAGGAAAAGTGACTTCTCAGCAGTAGACTGTCAAATTCTGGCTGCTGCCCCAGTGTTCACTTTGTTATGGCAGGTGAAGTTCACCTTTGCCCCACCCAGTGTTTCCACAAAAAGGCAAGGTTCCAAGTATTCATATGAACAAGTGTTACTTTAGGACTTGGAGGGTTGGGGGTGGAGGATGTTTGCATAGTTGAAGCCTTGGGCGGGGGTGTAGGAAACTGCAAGTACAGAGGCCATAGAAAAAGCTGAGACTCAGTTTGACGTTGTCAGCCGGCTTAGTCCTCTACCCAGTGACTCAAAGCACTCAAAATCAGCATAATCGGAACTGAAGTCAGTAGCTCGCCCATTTGCCATTCACTGCAGTAGCAAAAGTAGTACTCTGGTGGGTTAATCGGTTTGAGGCAGCTCCTTAAATGAACATTTGTGTTTCATTTTTCTGTTATTTTCCCGAACATGAAAAGACGATAAAACTGAAATGGAAAAGGTAACTGACAAAATGTGCCATACCTGTTTCCACCCTTATTTCTGCTGATTCAAGACTACACTTGCCAAACTGATTTGATTTCTTTTTCTAACAAGGCAGTAGGGGGATCAGAAATCACACACGGTACGGGCTGTGTTTATTCTGAGAGGTGCTGGAGAGCTTCCTTTTACATGCCTGTCTTCTCTTTTGGACAGATCTATTCCAGAGGGGAGCTTCTCCACTTCATTGATGGCTTTAATGAAGAGAAAAGCAACTGGATGCGCTATGTGAATCCAGCACACTCTGCCCGGGAGCAAAACCTGGCTGCGTGTCAGAACGGGATGAACATCTACTTCTACACCATTAAGCCCATCCCTGCCAACCAGGAACTTCTTGTGTGGTATTGTCGGGACTTTGCAGAAAGGCTTCACTACCCTTATCCCGGAGAGCTGACAATGATGAATCTCAGTAAGTGGATTACAGAACAAAAAAATAAAAAATGCCAGTAATGTCGGTTCTGCCTCTGTGAACTAATAACATGTTGTTTAATTATATGGCTTCATCATCTGTTGGACAAAGTAGGTGGCTTAAGCTAGGGACTGGGAAGAGGAAAAACCTTCTTTGAGTCCCTATTAACTATTATGAAACTTGATCATTTAAATATATTGTATATGAAGAGCTACTTTGAGTTTTGAATTCAGAATGTTATAAGAAGAAATATATGTCTAATTCTAATTTATTCATAAGCAGTTGGGAGAATTACAAGGATTGGTCCAGACACGCTGCGCATAAAAGGTATAGCCCTCATTTGTGGTACTTTGTCAGGGCTTAGACTGCATCAACATATTTATAGATGCACATTGGAATGTAGAGTTAGAACGTGATGTGGAGCATTGTAAGATCATTGCTAGAAAAACTTTGTCATAATTTTTCAAGTATTATTCTAAATGAATAACCGTAAAGATTTTATATCTTAGCTTCCTTCCTTACAGTAAAAAGCTAATTATCTGATCTGATCAGTATTACAGCAGCCACTTTATCTTAACAGTATCACTTTATCATCTTAACAAATTCTCAATTCTTAGGTTTATATGCTTTTACTTCTTTTGATTAAAATTGTTGTCATGACCTCTCTCTGCAAAGGGCTACATCATTTGAGTCATTCTCAAGTGATCTCTGAGCGATTTCAGAATTGCCGTAAGATTCTAACCTCTGTTAGAACTATGGTTGTGTGTTCTTGGTTAGACTACTAAATCTTATTATCAGTTTTAAAAATTAGTTCCTTAAAAATAAATAAATAAATAAAAATTCGTTCCTTTTGGTTTAGATGTTAAAACTAGATGCTGAAGTTTTTGTAACTTTTCGTTTTGATACCTTTTCAAACTTAAGAAAACATTTTAAGAAAAGGACAAAGAATTTCCAGTTACCCTTTCCCCAGGTTTGCCCGTTGTTGCTATACTGTCCGTTGGCTTTATTGGAAGGCTAAATTGTTTTAGTTCACATTTTCATCTTTGAGACATTTGGACTTAAATATCAATATTAACATAAATTGGAACTTCAACTTTGATTTTAGGACCAACAAGCAAACCAAATACTTACCTAGCCATAAATAATCCAACTGTATGGTTATTTGGTGTTCATTCCACACTGCGTTTTACTTCATCTTCCTTAAGACTGCAAGATTGTGTTTGCCGTTTTCTGAAAATCCAGGGCTATAAAAGCAGCAGGACCTCCCTAGTAGAATCCCATTTTAAGACGTGTGTTTGGGGCCCATATACAACAGGATACCCTTGAACTTCAGGAAAAGAACTGGTTCCCAGTCCCCCAGTTCCAGCTTGATGGGTCTAATCAGGTCCTGACCAAAAAGGTGGCAGTTCTTTTCCCTCATCTCTCTTCAGTGGTTATTTCCCTATCGCTGAGCCTGCCAGGAGCCATTCAGCTGTTTCAGCATCTGTGTGTGCCAGGCCCAGTGGTGAGGGCCTGGTAGCAAAAGACAAATGCGCAGGCACAGCAGCACTTTGTGGAGCTGATATTCCAGCCGGGCACCTCAGAAGCATGCAGCTCCCTCCTGGCTTTCTCAACATGGTGAGCCACTTCCTCTTAAGGAACCAAGAAACTTTTTTGCATGCTTCTCACACCCTGTGCCAATCAAGGGAAAGGTTTAAGGGCCTGGCATTTTTATTCCCCAAGGAAAGGCTCTGCACAGTATTTTAAGGTTCAAGTGCTTCTACTTTGTGTTCAGAAGCAACTTTCATATATACCGTGAAATGACACCTTTTATTTATCCCTTTTTATTTATGCAGAATGTATCCCCCTTTTATTTTGGCAGAATGTTTTCTAAATGGTGGTTTAACATTTTCAAGTACACTTCATTGTCCAATATTCATAGTAAAGAATGAGAGTTAACATAACCAGTCACATTAAAACAAGATTCCTGCTGCCAGTTGTGAAACCAGTTATCTTAGGCGTGGCAGCTGATGATTGAGACTGTGATCAGGAAAATTTCCACTGTTTCATCAGGCCTAATAGGTAGATTGTGTCTCCAAATGAATTGTTTTGGATTCTCGTGCTTAAAGCACAACAGAGGCGGTGCAAGAGTCTCCATGAGGTCTTAAATGGCAGTGATGGCAGAGTTTGAAGAAGGGATTTGAAACAAACCAAAGTTAAGCAAAGTAAGTAGCCAGAAATCACAAACTGGCATTTTTCTAAAAACAAAGGAAAGGAATAAAAGAACTAATAAATTTGAAACCCCCAAATTTTGGGGGTAGTTTTTTTTCTATCTATCTAACTAAACCATCTAGAAAACAGTTGACCAAATTATAGACTTCTAAATGTTAATCTGCTTTCTCAGTTTCAGTTGAAAAGAGACTTTGTTTTGCCTACTGCAGAACTTCTAGGTTCTTTCTTGTAGTCTTGGGGTTCTTATTATAGATCGAAAATGTGAGTCGGCATAATTAAGCCATTCAGAGCCTTCAGAAGCAGTTCACTCTTGAAATGACTCCGTCCGCCTACAGCCATTTAAGATTTCAGAACAAAAACAGATCTTGATTTTCTTTTTCATGTTAACTCAAGCTGCTGCTGAGTGGGAGAGTCAGAAATGACACCAGCTCCACTGATTACTCAGCTGCTGAAGGATGATTTTTAAAAATGCACCTTTACTGTATATGGACTTCATAATTTCCACCTGTAGAGCATCTTAGGGAGGCTAACATGTCACTCTGGATGTTCTTTTAGAATAAGATGTGAATATTTTTCTAAAGGCATTAGAGCTGGCAAACATTGTGAATTTACTATATACTGGGCACTGTGCTAAGTGTTTGGCATAGAAAGTTTAAAATTTTGACTTTTTTGTCGGCCCAATCATGAGTTTTCGTATCAGCTCAATAATCAAATTATATTAAGGTGCTTAAGAAGAATGCCTAGCTGAAATGTGAGTGGCATTGCCGTGGATGGACTGAAACTGTATGCTTATTGCAAATTTGTGCTTATTTGTTAACTTAGAGAACCAAGGGAGTATGGAAGCCACTGTAAAAAATATGAGACTTAGATACATAATGTGCCACCTAAAAATGGTTCAAAGTCATGAGGGTAAAGTTTTTGTATTTTCATTTTTCTTAGAGTGGCATCATTTTAAAAAATCATTATTAATTTGAGCCTATATAGTTGTTTCCAAGTCATTCTTTTTCACCTTCATAAAATTCCTTCCTGTGGCTGTGAGATGCCTTGCTATCAGTTTTCCAGCTTAGTTGTCTCTCTTGTCCTTTACCATTTTAGCTTTAAAAAACAAAAGTGACAATTAGAACTTCCTGCCTGCTGGGCCTCACTGAAAGACTGATATTGGCCTGATAAGGAGATATTTATTTTGGTTTAGTGGCTTCAGAAATCCCTCTCCTCAGCAAGCTTTCCATCACAGCCCCCATCAGCATCTTCCCTGATAGTGTTGTTCTCTGTGTTTATTCTGGGGCTTCAGGCTCGCCCAGGAGGAACTGATAACAGCTGGCAGGAGATAACATTCTCTGAGGGGCTCTCAAACTGGAATCGAATCCCTCAAGCCGGTCAGCCTAGAGAATAGATTTGAAAGGTTCAGTTCTGGAGTTTCACAGAGTTCATTTCTAGACCTATCAGATAGCAAGCCTGGAGTTCTTTCTCCACTAAATTCAAGCAGGGACATTTTTTAGATGAGGAAGTATATTTGCACAAAGGCTTCAGCGCATTCTCCCAGACCTGCCACCTCTGAAGGCATCTCCACACATCGTGGACAGCTAATGCTTCCGTGTGTTCCTAGGGTGGGGTATCCTGGCTTGAGCGACTGCCCTCCAATGCTCAGAGCTCAAACCTAAACATTTTATGTTTTGCTTTTGGTTTCCAGGCAAGGGCTGAGCAGGGAATTTTCAGTTTTCCCTGCTCGGATGGGTATTTTCCTGAAGGCGTTATTTATTGTGTAGCAGGGAGAGACGGGGCTGACTGTGGCAGGGATAGTCTAGAACTGTCCTCATTGCTGCTGTTCCTAAATAGTACATTTACCAAGTAATAATGTGCCATTTTTGGGAATAAATGCTTTCCTCTTAGCCTGCTCTGTTTTCTTGGGTGCGCTAAGTAATTGAACTGGCTCTGGAAGTACCTATTGTGGTTTGGCAGAGGTGACTGTCACGCCTTGTGATTCCAGGGGCCAGCACTGCTGGGATCCTGGCTAGACCAGACAGAGCCTTGCTGAAATGCTCAGGCCCTCCGCACAGCGCGGAGAAGGTGTGCCATTCACTTAGCTAAGCCCCTTGGCATAGGCAGTTTGAACAGGGCTTTATCAAATTCGTATTCAACAGGAGTAGAGGTGAAAATTGATGACTCGGTATTACTTGAAATGAGTCTTAATCTCTCACATTTAGTTCTCAGGGTGTGCTGATTTCCTTTAGGTAAACCATGAGCATCAGAAAGACTTTTATTAACCTGTGACAGCGTCCCCACCTCAGTATTTTTCCACCCGGTTTTAATGGGCACTATCTGACTCCAGCTCAAACAGCCGTTTTCTATCGTAAGTTGTGTGCTAATGAAAACAGAATCATCCACGTGCTGCTGTATGTTCTGTCGGTGCTGCCATTGTCTCCATTTTGCTGAGGAGGAAACAGAACCACACTTCTGAGTGAGAGGCCCAGAGCTCTGTAGCATGAGAGCACGCTGGAAGTCAGATGTATGGCGATTGTGTTGCCAGCTGGTACTCAGGCTTTCTCAAGAAGGGGGAGCAGCTTTGGCAATTTTGCTTCAGTTCTCTCTAGGCTTCTGTGTAATCACCCCTTCTTCTTTATTTCAGCACAAACACAGAGCAATCTAAAGCAACTGAGCACCGAGAAAAATGAACTCTGCCCAAAGAATGTCCCAAAGAGAGAGTACAGCGTGAAAGAAATCCTCAAATTGGACTCCAACCCCTCCAAAGGAAAGGACCTCTACCGTTCTAACATTTCACCCCTCTCATCAGAAAAGGACCTCGATGACTTTAGAAGACACGGGAGCCCCGAAATGCCCTCCTACCCTCGGGTCGTTTACCCCATCCGGGCCCCTCTGCCAGAAGACTTTTGGAAAGCTTCCCTGGCCTACGGGATGGAGAGACCCACTTACATCACTCACTCCCCCATTCCATCCTCCACCACTCCAAGCCCCTCTGCAAGAAGCAGCCCCGACCAAAGCCTCAAAAGCTCCAGCCCCCACAGCAGCCCTGGGAACACGATGTCCCCTGCAGGCCCCTGCTCTCAAGAGCACCGGGACTCCTACGCTTACTTGAACGCGCCCTACGGCACGGAAGGCTTGGGCTCCTACCCTAGCTACGCACCCCTGCCCCACCTCCCACCAGCCTTCATCCCCTCATACAACGCTCACTACCACAAGTTCCTCCTGCCTCCCTACGGCATGAATTGTAATGGCCTGGGTGCTGTGAGCAACATGAATGGCATCAACAACTTTGGCCTCTTCCCGAGGCTGTGCCCTGTCTACAGCAACTTCCTCAGTGGGGGCAGCCTGCCCCACCCCGTGCTCAATCCCCCTTCCCTCCCAAGCTCGCTGCCCTCAGATGGAGCCCGGAGGTTGCTGCAGCCGGAGCATCCCAGGGAGGTGCTTGTCCCAGCGCCCCACAGTGCCTTCTCCCTAACTGGGGCCGCTGCTAGCATGAAGGACAAGGCCTGTAGCCCCACCAGCGGGTCTCCCACGGCGGGCACAGCCGCCACGGCAGAACATGTGGTGCAGCCCAAAGCTACCTCAGCAGCGATGGCAGCCCCCAGCAGCGATGAAGCAATGAATCTCATTAAAAACAAAAGAAACATGACTGGCTACAAGACCCTTCCCTACCCGCTGAAGAAGCAGAACGGCAAGATCAAGTATGAATGCAACGTTTGCGCCAAGACGTTCGGTCAGCTCTCCAATCTGAAGGTAGGCCTTGGGACAGAGCAGCCCCGGGACTGTGGGGCAGCGAGTGTGTGCTTGTGTTTGTGTTAAGCTTGCTTTCCACAGGGTGTCAGTTGCATTTGCAGCAGTGTGAGCCCCAGGTTGGGAGTAGTGGGTATTGATTGTACCTAGTTTTTGCCACTTCTAGCCCCGTGGCTTTGGACAAGTGATTTCCCCTCTTCTGATTTTCTTCTGAATAATAAAAAAACAAAAATGGGGGTTTGGACTGGAAGCTTAGGTGAAATTCCCTGCTAGCCTGTGCTTTTTGTGCTTTTAATTTAAGAAAAGCACCATTCTGAAGACACGAAGATTGATTCTGTTAAGACTGTCTTGATGCTTTTCTTAAGATATCTGCATCATAAACACTTAGTCTTTGAGCAGAAATGTTAGGTCTCAGAGCCAGCTTGAGAGCAGAGCTAACACATGTGGCTTCTTCCCAGGTCCACCTGAGAGTGCACAGTGGAGAACGGCCTTTCAAATGTCAGACTTGCAACAAGGGCTTTACTCAGCTCGCCCACCTGCAGAAACACTACCTGGTACACACGGGAGAAAAGCCACATGAATGCCAGGTGCGCAGTATTCTCTGGGTAGACCTTCTGACCTTTGTAGAAAACGTCTGTGAGTCGCCCTCCCATGTCCTACAGCCCGTAGTTAAAGGCAACACAAGATTCTGCCTTGTCCCAGGCAGATGACACTGTGGGCCTCCCCAGTGCTCTGTGTCTGCTGATGAGCTGAGAGGACATGGCCAGCTTCCAGTGGGTGGGAAAATGGTAGGGGAAAAAAACAGCCCCTCGTGTGCAGTGTGCCCACATCCCTCTGTTTGCTTCATACCACACTGGAGGTGCCACAAGGAGGCTTCTGACCTCCCAGGTTGCTGGGCATTGGCCTGTAAGCCTGCCTCTCCCATCGGCAGCTCTTAATCTTCTGGTCTTCCTGTCTCCCTTCCCTGCTGTCTCTCTGCTCTGCACTGTAGGTCTGCCACAAGCGATTTAGTAGCACCAGCAATCTCAAGACCCACCTGCGACTCCATTCTGGAGAGAAACCGTACCAGTGCAAGGTGTGCCCTGCCAAGTTCACCCAGTTCGTGCACCTGAAACTGCACAAGCGCCTGCACACCCGGGAGCGGCCCCACAAGTGCGCCCAGTGCCACAAGAACTACATCCATCTCTGTAGCCTCAAGGTTCACCTGAAGGGGAACTGCCCTGTAGCCCCAGCCCCTGGGCTGCCCTTGGAAGACCTGACCCGAATCAATGAAGAAATTGAGAAGTTTGACATCAGCGACAATGCCGACCGGCTTGAGGACGTGGAGGATGACATCAGTGTGGTCTCTGTCGTGGAGAAGGAAATTCTGGCCATGGTCAGAAAAGAGAAAGAAGAAACTGGCCTGAAAGTGTCTTTGCAAAGAAACATGGGGAATGGACTCCTCTCCTCAGGGTGTGGCCTTTACGAGTCATCAGATCTGCCCCTCATGAAGTTGCCTCCCAGCAACCCGCTACCTCTGGTACCTGTAAAGGTCAAACAAGAAACAGTCGAACCAATGGATCCTTAAGATTTTCCGAAAACACTTGTTTTGTTTCTTAAGTTATGACTTGGTGAGTCAGGGTGCCTGTAGGAAGTTGCTTGTACATAATTCCAGCTCTGCAAAGCTCTCTTGATAGCAAATGGTTTCCCCTCACCTCTGGAATTAAAGAAGGAACTCCAAAGTTACTGAAATCTCAGGGCATGAACAAGGCAAAGGCCATATATATATATATATATATATATATATATATATATACATATTATATATACTTATTTACTCCCATGTCTATATATTTGCCCCTGTGTATTTTGAATATTTGTGTGGATATGTTTGCATAGCCTTCCCATTACTGAGACTATTGCCTAGTCATAATTATTTTTTCAATGATAATCCTTCATAATTTATTATACAATTTATCATTCAGAAAGCAATAATTAAAAAAGTTTACAATAACTGGAAAGATTCCTTGTAATTTGAGTATCAATGTATTTTTGTCTTGTGGCCATTCTTTGTAGATAATTTCTGCACATCTCTATAAGTACCTAAGATTTAGTTAAACAAATCTATGACTTCAGTCAACCTCTCTCTCTCTAATAATGGTTTGAAAATGAGGTTTGGGTATTGCCAATGTTAGACAGTTGATGTGCTCATTCCTGGGATCCTATCATTTGAACAGCAGTGTATATAACCTGGGGGTACGTGTGCAGAATTACCCAATAATAACTTAAGTAGAAGAAATAAGAAAGGGAATCTTGCATGTTTTTGTTGATAGTTCATGTTTTTCCCCCAGCCACAATTTTACCAGAAGGGTGACAGGAAGGCTTTACCAACCTGTCTCTCTCCAAAAGAGCAGGATCCTCCCACCACCAGTGCCCCCCACCCCCGACAGTCCTGTGGCCATTCAGAGCGGCCACATGACTTTTGCATCCCATTGTATCGTCAGAAAATGTGAAGAAGACAAAATGCCATGTTTTAAAACCACTGCGAAATTTCCCCCAAAGCACAGGCGGCTTCGTATGTGTGAAGTTTGGGGGCTTGAGTCTGGGTGTTGCTTTGTTGTTGGTTTTTGTTGTTTTGTTTTTTTTTTTTAATGTCAAAATTGCACAAACATGGTGCTCTACCAGGAAGGATTTGAGGTAGATAGGCTCAGGCCACACTTTAAAAACAAACACACAAACAACAAAAAAACGGGTATTCTGGTCATTTTGGGGTAAAAGCGGGTAATGAATATTCCTATCCCCAACACGTCAATTGTATTTTTTCTGTAAAACTCAGATGTTCCTCAGTATTTGTGTTTTTACATTTTATGGTTAATTTAATGGAAGATGAAAGGGCATTGCAAAGTTGTTCAACAACAGTTACCTCATGGAGTGTGTCCAGTACTGCAGGAAATAATGTCTTACCTAATGATTTGCTTCTTTAGAGGAGAAACCGAGTAAATGCGCTCCAGCAAGATAGACTGTGTCATTCTCTCTTTCATTCTGCTAAGCCCAAAGATTACATGTTGGTGTTCAAAGTGTAGCAAAAAATGATGTATATTTATAAATCTATTTATACCACTATAGCATATGTATATATATTTATAACCACTTAAATTGTGAGCCAAGCCATGTAAAAGATCTATTTTTCCTAAGGGCAAAAAAAAAAACAAAAACAAAAACAAGGCTTTTTGAGACGTTGCTTAATACTTGACCTCACAATCACATCGGTCTGTTGGGCACCTCTTGCCTACTCTAAGAGGCCCTAAAGCCTTGGTGCAGTGGCGGGGACTACCAAACAACCGGGGAGGAAGAGATACATCTTTTTTTTTGGAGATGAAGTCTCTGTCATCCAGGCTGGAGTGCGGTGGCACTATCTTGGCTCACTGCAGCCTCTGCCTCCCAGGTTCAGGCAATTTTCCTGCCTCAGCCTCCTGAGTAGCTGGGATTATAGGCATGTGCCACCACGCCCAGCCCATTTTTTAGTATTAAGGACCATCTAAGACGGCTGTATTTTTTTGCCACATTATCATTATGGGGTCACACCTAAGTCACAGAAATACAAAACTGACTTTACCACTGTAACTTTTCTCTTTCCTTTCTTACCAAATACTGATCCATCACTAGTCCATCTGTTTTATGATTATATTTGACATTTTGTTCACATCAACTCATGCTCACCTGCAGAGGAGAACAAATTTCGAATAATCCAGGGAAACTCAAGAGCCTTACTGGTCTTCTGTAACTAGCAAGACTGACAGCTTTTTATGTATCAGTGTTTGATAAACACAGTCCTTAACTGAAGATTAAACCAAAGCCTCACACTGACATTAGACCAAACACTTTTTATTCCCAACTACTCCTTTGTTGTTCTTTCATGCTTTCCTGTAGTGAGAATTTTTCTAAAGACTTCCTGCTTCTCTCACCATCCATCCTTCTTTTCCGCCTCTTACATGTGAATGTTGAGCCCACAGTCAACAGTGGTTTTGTTTTTCCTGTACTCAAAACTGACCAAAGTTACTGGCTTTTTACTTTGCTAGAACAACGAACTATCTTATGTTTACATACTGGTTTACAATGTTATTTATGTGCAAATTGTCAAAATGTAAATTAAATATAAAGGTTCATGCTTTACCAATCCTTGTCTCGTGTCTTGCGTGAAGGCCAGTGAGCGACATCTTCTCCATACTGTACAGATGGCACCAGGCCAGATTTCAAACAACAGTTTGCCTGTTCCCCACCCCAACCCTATGCTGCTTCAGCAGCACCCTCTGGTATGCCCTGATCTCCTCCCAGGACTATATTTGTGCGTGATCTGACAGCATCGATCTGTCATAACTGTAAGAGTTCTCCTTAATTATGAACTATAAAAATGTTCTCTAGAGGAGGCACATCAAGCATCAGCTAGTAAGTGGGAGACAATTTGTTTTGTGAACTTTTACATTTCATTTTGTCAATGGACATGGGTTGGTAAGGAGATGAGGGGGACTTGGATAACCTCCAGAGATGCCCTGCCAGCTTGTGCCAGTCTGTGTGTGTGTGGAGACTCAGCCCCCTATGGGAGTGGGGCCCTGGGAAGCTGGGTAGGAACACTTTGCCCTTTGGTGACAGCAGCTTCAGTAGCTTACTCTGGGCAGGTCATGGGGAATGCCCTATATCCCATGTTTTCTCCCTTATACAGATGTAGATTTGCTACTTGGGCTTTTTTTTTGAGACAAGGTTTTACCCTGCCACCCAGGCTGAGGCTGTAGTGCAATGGAGTGATGATATCTCACTGCAGCCTTTATCTCCCAGGCTCAAGCCATCCTCCCACCTCATCCTCCCGAGTAGCTGGGACTACAGATGCGTGCCACCAGGCCTAGTTAATTTTGTTTATTTTTGGTAGAGACAGAGTCTCACTATGTTGCCCAGGTCTCCTGGACTCAAGCGATCCTCCTGCTTTGGCCTCCCAAAGTGCTGGTATTACATGTGTGAGCCACCGCACCTGGCCTACTTGTGCATTTAAAACATTTCCAGAAAGCTGCTTTCCCAGAATCTGAGCACTGTTAGCATGACAGCCAGGAATATTGGTGGTATGGCCGTGTGGCCCTGTGTGATGGGACAAGTTTAGCCATTCATGCTCCAGAAACTAACCTGTATCCAGAGAAAAGGTTCACATAAATTCGAGTCTCATTTGATAGATTTAAGTAGGAGATGCTTCTAGAAAAGTGATAGTTCACTCAGTGAAAAGAAAATATAAAAGCCCTTTGCAAGTGGTTTTCATGCTTCCCATTTCATCTATTAGCAAATTTATGGTTTTATGCACATGCTAACTGCATGTTAAGAAAATGATGCTCCTGCTTACACTTGGACACTCCAAACTGCCCGAAGTTTTGTTTTTAATGTTTCTTCTTTAAACTCACTTCAACATCTGTACCAAGAATTTGAAATGCTGCCAACATGTAACTGTGGAGTTAAAAAAACCAGAACCCTATTGTCATAAACGTGCCAAATGGTGCTGGTTATACTCCTAAATTCTACAGAACCATTGTGGTAATAATTTTTCAAAACAAAGTTCAATAAGATCCTGAGTGTAACAGTTAAATACTATAAATCATAGTTCTTTACTTGGCAAATCATGTCTTTTTTTTTCTTGAGAGTTACATATCTTGGGAACACTTGTGGACTTAGCTGTTTAACAAAACATTACATTAAAAGATAATATTCACTTAATGAGCCCAAGTCCACTCAGCCAAAGTCCATACTGTTGGATCAAGGCTTCATGCAGCTGTTTGTAGGACAAAGTAAGACCGAAGAAGTCACCTTTTTCTGAGTTTTCCTTTAGCAAAATAAAAGCTCTGTGCAGAAATGATGCATTTAATTCCCTACCATAAGGCAATATAGAGAATATATGGGAGTCTATAGGTACATTTCTAGATATTTTTCCCTTGGGGGAAATGAAACCAATTTAGGACCCATAAGTTGGTATAAACGAGCTTATTCCTTTGTGTGTGTGTGTGTGTGTGTGTGTGTGTGTGTGTGAGAGAGAGAGAGAGAGAGAGAGAGAGAGAGAGAGAGAGAGAGAGAGAGCGATGCCTTCTCTAAAAGGAGATGAGAAAAGGCCAGAACAGAGGAATGAAAGTAATTAGAGGCACATGGCAGAGAATTTCTAATACAATACCAGGCCTCCAGGATAATCTAGTCTAGAAAGGAAGGCTGTACGCCAGAAGGCAGCAGCTAAAAGAAGTGATGAACAGGAGAAGAGTTAGATAGACTGTGATCTTTGAACCAGTCCAGAAGGCACTTTCTAGTTCCTTTCAGAGATCGTGGAGTTCTTTGTCCATAACATGTCATTTCATTCTCACTTCTGGCCAGAAGAAATCAGATCATTTTGAGCAGCGGCTACCAAACCCATTTCTGGGTATGTAGTAGCTACAAGGAATGTTACAGGATCGGTGGATAAGCTTCACCAGCATCCTTTTTCAAGCTTTGAGTCCTCAGAACCCAAGTTCATTTGCTCCAAAGTGCTGCTGACAGCTGCTCCTTAAATAAGTGAGAAGTGATTTTAATCTCAATACAGTCTTAATCGTGTAATTCAGGCAAAAATGCAGCAAGATTCCAAAAAGTTATTTTTAACTGGATTTATGCAAATAGTCACTCACCCTTGCCCAGTTTTACAGCATCCTATAAACTAACAAACTAACAAACCCTCTCCTAGTTTGCTCTTCCTTCCAGGTTTGAAAAGTAATGAACCAGAGCTGGCTGTGTGCACATTTCCTTCTCTCTGCATTTTTGATAGGTTTTATTCAGCAAAAACGTGAGCGGAGTCATCTTGTGGTTTTCCCCTACCCCCATCATAAAAGAAAGGAGAAGTGACAGATAAATAGCAATGGGTAATTCTGGTAAGAAATTCTTCAATGTGTTAACAAAGGGGGTTCTCATGGAATTGTGGCAAAGCTCCCCAACTTCAAATATCTTAAAGATTCACTTGTGGATGATGGCAACCAGCCCTTCCCCATTGTGGGTAAGAAGCAGAGCAGAGGAAATGAAATAAAAGCGTCGCAGAGGGGACTTGGGCTTAAATCACCAAGATGAACACCTACACTTAGGGTCTGTAACACAATGGATTCCTTCCCATGGGAGAGTACTCCGCATCCTTGCAGGGCTTAGAGAGGAATCGGTGTGTTTGAAATCACAGATGAACAAGATGTTCTGGCAAACTTCTCTTACATCCGTTTTTTTGTTTGTTTGTTTGTTTGTTTTTGAGATGGAGTTTTGCTCTTGTTACCCAGGCTGGAGTGCAACGGCACGATCTCAGCTCACCGCAACCTCCGCCTCCTGGGTTCAAGCAATTCTCCTGCCTCCGCCTCCTGAGTAGCTGGGACTACAGGTACATGCCACCATGCCCAGCTAATTTTTGCATTTTTTGTAGAGATGGGGTTTCACCATGTTGACCAGGATGGTCTCGATCTCTTGACCTCGTGGTCCACCCGCCTCCACCTCCCAAAGTGCTGGGATTATAGGCATGAGCCACCGTGCCCAGCTCCTAGATCTTTAATGTTTAATGTTCTTTTATGTTCCTGAGGCCTCCTTGGAAATTTGCTATGTATTTAGGCAGATCTGTAGAGCCCATCTAATTCTGAGGAAGAGTCCATGATACCACGAAATGAATTATGCTGTATAGTCTGTAAAATATGTTAAGAGATATTCAATATTTGAATTCCCAGGGAATCTGAAAGGGATGAAATTGAACATGAGACATGGTGCCACTGTAATCTGCATTATATGTGGCACTCTGTAAATCAACCTCCAGGCTAGCAGCCTTTTAAGTGCAGTTATCACTTAAGAAGAGAAGGGACCATCTCTGCATTCTCTCCTCCCATCTGCACGGCGTCCCTTGAGTACTGTTTCCCGTCCACACAGGCAAAAGAAATGAGACGCACCTCAGTCCCCTTCCACACAACCCTATCTTGCCCGTCCAGGTTTTAGTACAAGTAGTCTGATAATGATTTGCTTGAGATCAACCAACTGTGGATCATTAATGGGGTCACATCCTCTTCTTCCATGGCTCTCAAGGCGAGAGTTTAAAAATACACCCAAGGTGGGAACTGAGAGGATGGGCTCCTGCCCTCATGGAAAAAGCAGCGTATCAGGAGTTTAGGGAGCTTGTTTCTAGTCCTGGCAGCCCCTGGTTAAATGTGTGCTCTCAAGAAGTCCTGGAACCTTGCTGGGCCACAGTTTCCTGGTCCTTAAAGGAAGAAGTCATTCCTGGGTTGTCTTCCTGTTCTTTTGGAGATGTTCTTCCATCTCCCAATAGGCCCTGATTCCACTGTTTTCTCTTATGTCCTTTTGGTTTGTTTTCCTTGGAACTCCGGTTGTTGCTATAGGCAGATATTTGTAATTTAGAGAGCAGATGTCGGAGAAAATGAAAAGGAGGGGCACGTCTGTATGGAAACACTATTGTGGCTTCTTTTGGCAAAAGTGAGTGGGCTCACAAAGGTCCTGCTAATTTGTGAGAACCATGAACTTTCCCCAGGAATTAATATGCTCATCTGAAAGGAATCAAGAGTCTTTTAATGGATGTAATGGCTTATGCTTAAATCAAATTTCTGCTTAAGTACCATGAATTCTAGGATGTTTAGTTTAGTGAGTTTTTGTTTTTTCCCTTTGTCTTCTTTCTCTCTCTTTTTTAAAGCAAAGGCCTACATGTCTGATGACTGAGAAAGATTTAAGCCCATTGCCACAAAAACGAAAAGGGGACAAAAATATGGGCAACTGAAGAAGAGAATGAGAACCCAGTCAAGAGACCCTAAGAAGACGTTGAAAGGAAACGTTTCAGTTAGCAAAGCAATCAAGGCCCTGATACTGTTTTAACGGCTCAAAGTTTAAAAAAGGGAATAAAGAAAAATTAAACTGAGAGACGGAGGAGAGAGGGAAAGGTTAAGCCAAGACAGAAACTCTGAGCAGATAGATGTGAAAGGGGCTGAAAATAAGTGAAAAGTGAAAAATTGCTTTATGAATAAACCGTTAAAAAATAGCGAGTGAAAAAGCAATTGTGCTTCCAGTTATTACTGAATCACAAGCTCGTGGAAGCCAGAGGCTGACCCCAGCAGCAGCTCCACACTTAACCTACATCGCAGCAGTTGGTGCACAGCAGTT